AAAACTATGTAGAACAAAATCAATCCTGCAAAAGCTATAAGAATAATTACGACAAGAAACAGAAAACAGCTATAGAGTCTTGTAGAACACTTTCCAAGGCCGTCTCCATTGCTTTCTGTCTCATGAAATGTAACTCCATTTGGACTTTCGCCATTTATCATTCTTACCTGCGCCTCAGTCCTTGGCCTCCTCTGTTTCCTCAGAAGGTCGCTTACTGGCTTTACCAAGTGCACCATGTTCCACATGCTGTGCTAAGTGGCAAGGCGTATTTATGCTTTTCAGAGAATGATTTATCAATAGTGCTCTTAATTATTCAGAAGATCATTAAGATAGCCATGGAAGTAGAGTGAATGAAAAATCATTGCTGGAAGAAATGGTTAGAAAGAAAAACAGAAGAAGTAGTAGAAAAACAGAGGACGAAAGAAGAAATAAACAAATCAAACAGTGAAATAGAAAATAGGTCTTGTAAAAATAGAGGATAGTAGAACAGTCATCTTGCTCTGTAGTAGTGGCAAAGCTAGTAAGTATTACAAGACAGTTAGAACTACTTTCAGTTTTAATTTTAATTATGCTTCTAGCTTGCTGTCCTATCTTTGAATATTAAGTAGTTTTTATTGATTATTTTGATGCCCTATCTGCTACTGCTGTTGATTACAAATGCTCTACTTCTTGGCCAGTGTGAAAATGGTTCATCTTTTGTATCATTTATTGGTTAATATTTGGACACTCTTATTCTTGGCGACAGAAGATTTTCTTGAAATATTAGCACAAATACTAGAGCCACTACCACTGCACCTATTACGAATTTCAGTCTATGTTTTTCTTCTATAAGGAATTCGTTATCTTTTTTTTCTTTTAATTTAGACGCGTCCATATCTAGCACATAGTCTTTATCGTTTATATGGGTTGAACTTGTTGCTATGCTTGCTCCTGCGGTGTTCATTCCTAGACAATTCTAAAAATAAATTATTCTTTTTACAGAGCATTCTATCAGATGATGCAATGCTATACATGCTATATTGTAGCAAATATCTTGAGATAGTTCGTTAATTAATCTTGAGAAGGAAAATAAACCATCCATCAGATGACAGTTACAAGAATAACAACAATTTATCGGCCAGCTGTTTTATTGAGAGTGTTTTTGTTTTTGCTCTCTAGAACTGTGTATCTTAAGATAACAGCTGTAACAAGTGCTATAAGAATACCACAATATAGTAGCTTTGATTTTATCATGCGTTTTATAAATTTTTTTGTTCTTCCTTCTCGGGAGGGGATATAACTAAAAGTAGGATAATCTTCTATTTCGTCTGCTTTTAGATCTAAATAGGCATCATTTATACCTCGAATTGTTGTTTTATTAGGCTGTTCATTTCTTTCTTTTTCTACTGAGCCGTAGTTGTATTTGTTATTTTTATTTTTGGGGATAGGGATGGGTGTGGATCTTCTTGGCATTCTGAAGAAGTTTGGTGCAGAGTTGGGCTGGCTATAGATATAGTTAGATGTTCCTGCACTGAGCTCTCTGTTTATTGAGGTTTTTACTTCTAATTTATTTTTATGTGCAGAGAATAATCAATAATATCTGATCAGAGTAGCAAATTTACTTTTTACTTTTATTTGAGTTCTATATTGTTATTAGCAATGCAAAGTTAAATTAAAACACAGCAAAATCAAACGATAGATGGACATTAAGTACCCGATAGAGAGCATTTGATGTACCAGGAAAGATAGTGATATATTGTCTATTCCTGCTGCTGTTTTGCTGTCACTTAATTATTCTCTAGATGGTGTGGCTACTGTTTTTTGTGCGAAACATGGCTTTCCTTGAGCGCGGTCATATTGAAAGACGTTGGTTTTGTTTTTATCTTCAGAAGATTCAGGAAGTTGTTCAGGTTTGCCTTGAAGAGCGGGCTGATGTTTGGAAACACTTTGAATACGTCTTCTGGCGATGCGGGCTGTGTTTTTATGAACATAGCCAGCTGTCTGTCAGTCATGAGGAACTGCGGGCTCTCGTCCTCTTCTTTTGCGATGAAGTCTCGGAGCAGGAATATTTTCAAAAACGACTCATTCATTTCCACGCCGTATTTATTGCAGAATTCCTCTGGGTCTGTTTTTGTCTTCTCCTCTTCGCATGTATTCCTGTACTTATCAACAAACTCCTCTTGTGTCGTATTTCTAGCGAGTTCTGCTGCGATTTCCAAGAGGTATCCAACTCCTGTCTCCAACTCACTGAGTATCTCCTGGGATATAGGCTTGTATCTCCAGTCGACCAAATGAAACTGTTTTTTGACGATATTTCCAGTTATTTCGCAAATAGCCGAGTGCAAGCTGTTTATGTGCGCAGGCATCCCGTGCATGTTCATAATGTCCACTGTGCTTTTTATTGTGTACTTTAAATCTTTTCTCAGCCATTCTGTTTTCTTTTTCTCTTTGTAGAATACTTTTACAATGCTCTCTACGTCCCAGAAAGTCAGCAGTTTAGAGTGGTTACGAAGTGCTATCATATCGAAGAGAAAGATGGAATCATGTGTAGACACTTGGATGTAGCACGTAAATCCATTGTAGCTCCTGAAGGTGTGCTTCTTCGCATCTACTCCGATCACGTTCTGCTGCAATATCAGACTATTTGCCATCTTGCAGTCTTCCTCGGTGGAAATGTACTGTACATTCTTTTTCTCTGGTGTTTCATGGAGAGAGAGAAGGGAAGAGTGCAGGAAAGAGAGCGTGTTTCTAAATGTTTCGTCACTTTCAGCAGTGCTACCCTGATTTAATGGAATTTCTGCAGGCAGTGTGTGTTTTTCCGTTGTTTTTGTTTCTTCTACCGAATAATTATTCCTTCTTCTGTCTTTGAAGTTGATCTGCGGCCTGGGGATGTTCTTGGAGAGAATGAAGTTTTTATTTTCTATTTTCAGAAGAATGGTTTTCTGCGGGGGAAGAATGCTTTCTTCCGTTATTTTCAAGTTGGCGCATACTTTGTGGATGTCTTCGCAAATATTTTCCACTTCTTGCAAAAGAGAGAAGGAGTCAGTTTGCAGAGTGTTTTCTATTTCTTGTATTAACTGTCTGCAGTGCTCTGTTTTTTCTCTGAGCTCATTTTCTGGTATAATCAGCTTTTCCTGCTGGATTATGCTGCTGTATTTAGTAAGTGTCTTGGAGAGTCTGTCTGTGGCCTGTGTAAGAAACATAAATAATTCTTTTTTTGCGAATAAATAGGAAGAGAGAGAAAAGTATCATATTAATTTTAATTTCGAATAAAGCCGGGAATGAAAATAAATTATTCTCGGGTTAACATGGAACAACTTGGCTTCCATTTTATTTTGGAATGGCAGCTGATAGATAAAAATAGATCTAGAGAAGAAACAGAGGGTAAAAGTAAGTCAAAGAACAAAATGAAAAGTAGATGAAGAATATCTTTACAGTGTAATAAATTCAATCAGCAGATCAATAGCTATAATGTTTGTGTATAAGCCACAGACCGCAGAGACTAAAGAAGTACTATGAACTTCTTTCTAGAAATAAAAACGAAAATATAACCAGAAAATATTTTAATTTTATTATGATCTCGCGAAAGATACTCCTGAAACAAGTACTGATCATAGGAGCAGTTGCTCTGGCTTATTTACAAGTGGCCAGATGCTTGCCAGAGGACAGGTATGAACATTGGTATAATATAGAACACTTTTGGAACAAAAAGATAAGCTATATCGATGAACAAGTTAAAATTCGTGCAGAGTTTCTTGAGAGAGCAGAGTCTATTGTCAACTCTGAGAAAATGGGATTAAATTTTAATGCTGGTGATTACATAGAGAAAGGAAAAGAAATTATGCCAGAAATAAAAGACGATTTAGAGTCTATTAAAACAGATTTTAAGCTGCTCAAAGACTTA